CCTTTGGAAAATCCGAATTTCACACAAAAAGGGTTTTGGGCTGCAGGTAAGCCAACCCTTGCGTATTATATCCAGGTACTTTTGCCAAAAATTGCGTCCGCTGGTAAACCATCTGCCTCACGATTAATAGGGGTAGTTGGCGGAAAGGGTAGCAGACCCTTTCCAAAAATGTTTTTTCTGCCCACAGATGACGGGATAGGGCAGAACGAAAGTAAAAATGCAGGTGAAATGAGGGAGGGCTGACAGAACGCAAGCCGCCTACAAAAACTCAGGTAGGCCATGAAATGACCTTGAAAAGCCTACCTTGGGACGTTGGGTCGTTGGGTGCATTAAACCACCGCATGGTTGCCACGTCCTGACCAAAAACGTAAGAACTAAGGACCACTCATTTCTGACAAGGATGGATCCAGAAGAGGAGTCAAGAACGACCACTAATATAAAATTGCGATAATGAAATTGATCCCAACAACAAAAAGCTTGTATGCGTTGTTGCTACACAGGCAGGTTTAAGGATATCAGATATGTCGACTCTTTACGTCCGCAACAATATCTGTCGAACTAAAAGAAGTGATAAACGGTTTTACGAAAAAGCAAAAAATAAGACTTTATAATGAAATGTTTCTTTTTAAATTAGATTCATTCTGACTATCGCATTAGGGCCTGTTTTGACTGGACCTTGGCTAAGTGACCCCCCTCCCTTAACTCTGAGGTGACCACCCCGAATAAATATGCTCTGGCTTTATTCTCGAATCGACTAAAGCGTTCATTTTTATTAATCATTTTGAGTTTAGCTTCTAAGAAAATATAAGAGTATAAATAAATGATTTTCTCGTAGAGCAAAACTCAAATATATCCAATAAATTGTATAAATGCCTAAGATTTCGACGCCTTTTATAATGTTTGGAATCCCATAGCAGTCATGCTTCCCCTGACTCTTTAGCTTATCTGACAACGTCGCTTGCACTTTGGCAGGTAGTTACGCATCCAACTTGGTTGTGCGAACTGAATAGCCCGATATTTTTTTCATGTGGCAGGACCACTTTTGTTTTCGATGGTATGGCCGACGAACCAGGAGAAGCAACCTTTACTAATGGGATGTGAAAATGATTTACGATTGAAGAGGCATCAACGACCAGAGTCATAAGGGCGAAGATATTTCGTCATTCTGAGCAGAAGAGAGAAAGTCGTTAACAAGGCGATACAAAAGAACATTCAATTAATAATTATTTGCATGTTCTTCACATTATATTACACTTGACGCAAGAAACTGCTACTACCTACATAACAAATTACTCCAGTATTTAAACATGGCCAAAGCATAACCATGAACCGAGTAAAGTTGACAGCGTTAGACTTGAAGCATGAAAAATAAAAAAAAATAATTTAATTATAATTTGTTAATTCATTAGTCAATTAATTATTCTGAAGCTGGGTACCATTTGGCTTTGAAAATAGTCATCATAACCTCATATGATATTTAAGAATTCAAAAGTAGCTCCTGATGTACACCTTCCACCAGGTCGTTTCAAGCTTTGAGTAAGGTCAATTACCAAATTCAAATAACCAGGAACTGGAATTAAGTAGTATTGTTAGACTTGTCAATGACATTGAGTGATAAATAAAGTAACTTTCAGATGGTCTATTTCCGCAATAGGTGTACCTACCGCAAACATATTTTTAAATTACTAGTAATTTACAAAATATAGCGTGATTTAAAACGATACTTTGCTATTTATGATGCGTGTATTTTTCTGAAACCATTAAATCACAGTTTTTGATTAAAATTAGTTTTTGGCTTAGAGAAGCACAAATTTGTTTTGCGAGCATGAAAAACTACCAACAAAAGGACGAGACTTATGCAATATTATCGGAGTTTACAATCCACTATGCAGCGACCAACATTCCCAGATTGAGCGTCATTTATCTTGAAAATATAAATGGTATTTAGAAACTTTACTGGCATTCTTTAAAAAGTACAACTTTTGTCTTAGGTTTTTGCAGTCTGTGCGCTTAGACATGAGAATCTATATGCAGTACCTGCGATCAACACGAATCCCTCCTCCCTAGATAACCCAGTTTATCGTTTTTCAATTTATAGATGACCCTCTCGCTTTTCATTACCAAAAGACTGATAGCCTCCTGTCCCCTGACGGATGTCGTCCTGAAAATGCATCTTCAGACCTCTCCCAGAACTTTTTTGAGCGGGGTTATTTCAAATTCATGATTTGGAACAATCCCCCCCCCAACCCCGCAAAAAAATATTTTCTATATAGATCGCCCTTGCAGGCAAAAGACAGCCGTGCACTATTGCAAATCAGTGACCTAGACATCCCAATATAATGGGTAATCTAGAAGTAGATGGCGTTTATTACGTTAGCGGCCATGAGTTAAACATCTTAAGGCGAGGTTCCTACGGTATCTGAGAAGAAAAAAAGAGCAAATTTTTTTTAACCTCAAATGCCGTGTGAACCTGGTCTCTAAGTCTATTAAATCTGCCTATTTCCCAACTAAATGTGACAGTTTGATCTCCAGCGACACCAGCGTTGCCTGGCGGGAGCAAAATGGGGCATCGCAGGCATTCCTTCGCAACAAAGACCCATTGATACGACCCTGTCCGCCAACCTTGAGCCTCCAAGATCGTCAGCCTACGTTTTTGTTTGCTCCATTCGCATGCGATGATTTCGCTAGACCTATTAGCGGACAGACAGGGAGACCGACCAGCAACAAAACAAAAAAAAACTTCCTACACCGAGAGAGAGAGAGACGGTTGAACCGCGACGCAGACCTTGGTTATCAATGTCAGTCGGTTAAAGTGGCAGACAAAAAACTGGTCAACGTGTGTATGTGCTACAAATACATACGAGTGTATGTACTCTCGTATGACGCAAAACAAAGAGAGGTAAGAGTGGGTTTGATATTTCGCGGTCATTTACAGTGATCAGCGCCAAGGTTCCTTCCCGACATTATTAACAAGATATACAAAGTGGTCCAGAAACCACAACAAATAAAAAAGGCGAACTAAAAATTTGAAAATATTTCTTCCGAATTGGAAATATGCCGTTTTATACTTAACATTCTATCGATAACAAAGCTCCTCCTCAATGTTGAAATAAAAGCCTGTTGTACTCCTGTCACTGTTAAAATGTAACATACATTTATTTCAAAACTTGAGATAAAGGAGCTTCATTATCGTTTAAAGGTTAACAATTATAGAAAAAAAAGCATTTTTGGTGCTTCTTATTCATGGCCTATTTAAAAAAATATATATATTTATATACTACTTTAGAGTATTTATGACGTTAAATAATCAATTTAGTTGTGTCTACCTACATGTGTATTTTATTAATAGGACTTCATAAAACACTTTATTTTTTTTATCATGCATTACGTAAATACGGGAGACGTACTTACATCTCTAACTATGTTTGCTCAATTGATTTAAGAACCACCTATTGTTAGAAAGGCAATATTCGACAGGGTTATTATAAATAATCAAACACGATGGATTTGTGTCATGAGCCAGGGGGCCGTGGCTCCCCTGAGAATTATAAGCTCCTCGCCGTAAGAAAAGCTGCCAGCACCGTTCTTTGGAGGCATATATACGTCTGCTCTTCAAACACTTTAAGGAGCAGGTGCACTTTCATAAAAAAAAAGCCGTCCCTTGCCGATGATCATCCACCCCCTCCCCTTGCCTCGGAGAACAATTCCTGACTGTTAATTTTCAAGCGTTTCTCACAGCAGATACTCGACGAAGAAAGGCTCAAAGTTTAATGTATTTATAAAACTTGAACGAATGTGTCGCAATGCAAATTAGTACTATTGCGGCTTTGATTAGAGGATCATTGCAGTTGTTGCGACCGCAATGCCAATTTTACTTTAATTTCTATTGTTTACTCCGCCGCTGTTTTCTTGGCACTAAATTTGGTTGCGCCTATGGTTTTTTGGAAGAAAGAGGAAGAGCGTACTCGTAGCTAGCTCGTAAGTACATAAGTTCAGTGTAAACACGGAGACTTGTTTTATGATATGGGCTTTATTACTTCTTATAAATAGTATGGCTATGATGAAACATTTGTCGGTCTTTTTCGCTTGTCCTTATAGCTACCCGCCTATGCCGTTAGCAAAGCGGCCGTTGACTTGGCGTAACCGACCTTCAACCTTCAATTCGCAGTCTTCGTCGGGATATTTTCTCTGCTAAGGCGTACAAGCACAACTCCTATTTTTATTCCGACTATTTCAGTTTACAAGGTTTTCTTACAAATACCTATTAGGGAAGTATCAGTATCGTTACAGACGATGGTAAAAAAGAAATGGATTTGCAACAAGGAACTAACCCTCATATTCACAACTCATACGAAAGTTCATCTTCGAACATATATTTATTTCTCGATCTTACACTTTTGTCTGTTTTTAATATTTAAAGTCGTATATAAATTCATCTGGTCATAATCCATACCGCGGGCAAAACATGGATCCCACGATTTAACCTAAAAACCCAACACCGTGACCATTTTGCACAATGGATATTCACAGCCCAGGTAGTGGCCCCTCGCACTCAGAATAGGCTGTTTACCTAAAACTTTTTCATGCTTTCATCACCCCACAAAAACGATCCGATTTCAACCCTCATAATGCACATTCGATTTCCGGGTGTGTGGTTTGGTCAACACACCAAGGCGAACTTTTTTAGCACTTCCTCATTTTTAAAAATATTCGCCAAGGTTCGCAGCGCGCCAATACCGAGTCCTTAGCAGCCAAAACCCGTTGCGTATGTTAAGGTCAGGCAATTGAAAAAAAAAAACGTGTTTCGCTTTACTGGTTGATGCAAAAATATAGAATTTGTAGTCAATTTTTATAATTACTTTTTATAGAACACTTTGATTTGTGACATTATTGTACTTTGCAAGTAACTCGAGATGTCTAACAACACTTGATGTTATAGAGACTGACCTGTCGAAAAATATTTGAATATGTTGAGTTGGTAGCAAGCAAATAAGATACTTTTACTTCATCCAGTAAACTGTTGTTATGAGCAGTGTATCAATACTTACCTTGCAACCTTCGCAAGAATGGACTCCATAGTGGAATCCTGAGGCTTTATCTCCACACACTCTGCATAATACAGTTGTACCATCGAATTCTGAAAAAAATGAGTAAAATCAGATTGATGGGACCATTGTCACCTTTAGGTTATTATAGGTTATATGGCTAGGCGTTTGGTGGGGAAGTGCCTAACAATTAAAAGGCTCGTTCGACCATAAAATGGCGGTTTAACAAAAAACAAAGGCGTCAGGAAGGTTGACTACCCTACTTGATCAATTCTTAAAAAAAACTGATAAAAAAAGAAAGCTACGAACATGTATCACAAAAAAAATGTATCAAGTCAGTCAAACCTACCTACACCCTTCTTAATCCATAGTCATTGACAATATTGCGATTTAAAATTTTCGCCCCTATCAAACGGACAGTTCTGAACAACCGATAACGTTTCTATGACTAACCTCGTCAGCCACCTATCGGTCAGACCCCGACACAGATATATTTACGTTCGCGGCGTTGCTGCAGACAGACAGTCCAACAGAAATCGATGCCAGGTCATGCAATATCCAAACACCATAAATACCTCCTCCCCAATAGCGTAGGAAGTAAAAAGATTGAGGAATTAGAAGTCTATCAAGCATTCTAAGCTAAGAAATGACAAACTCATTCATATTGATGTCTGCCAAGTACCAAGACAAACAACAAATGTGATACAGTTCAAACGCAGGCATCTATGATTCACAAACGGCCTCAGTACATGTCCTTGCAGCACACCCACGCAAGTCATTCATCTCTTATAAAGGTTGTCGTACTCGAGAAGAAAACGTGGGTATCACCCGCGGGTACGGAGAGCAGAGATGTCACCGAACTACCCATCGCATACGGCTGAAGAAAGCAGTACTTTCTCCTGCAGCGTGCGTTCGCCGGTCGCACCGCCGTGCAATGGCCGGAATTGCATCAGAGGAGAAAGTGGTACGGCTTGAGCTGTAGTAGTACTGCTGATATTGCCACATACGCATCAACTGGTTATGCAACCGCGAGAGTACAGGTTTTTTTTTTTGGAGACGACACTTCAGTTGTAATCACTAACAAGAACAATGGAGAAAAGGGACGGTACCACTTTAAGAAAAATATAACTATGTAGGTGAACTCACAATTTGTACAGGGTGTCCCGCTATAAACTGACCACCCTCTAACCTTTTCGAAGAATTTGTTGATTTGGAAGTGCCTATTTCTGTTAGTTTCGTGAATTAGAGAATCTGTTGAAATTCAGTAGTATATCGGAACCATTTTTGTATGTAAATAACGATTAAAAATGAATTCTTGGCTGACTCGATATGCAGATATAATCATAAGCATCTATATCGGATGGTCCGTTTCCTAATTACTTTATGCAAAACAACTCACGCAAGAGAGATGCTATAACGAACGAAGCATTTGTAAGGCCTCTCTTACTTGACAATATGGCATATTTTGAATGTCACAACAGCTCTGAAGTTATTTGTTGTCCGGTTTTAACACGGTGAACTATTTTTGTATGTTTAGTTCAAAATACATATGTAACGAGTTTACATAACACCTAGGATTATCCCAAAATGTCAAAGCTTTTATTACAATTTTCATTTGAGTTATTTCCATTTCAAAACGACTTGATCTTTATTTTCTAGCTTATCAACATTTGCGTTGAAACATTACCTTGGAATCTAGCAGTTATAACCTGCTCCATTTTTAAAACGAATATGCTTGATAAACTGGTGCAAACCTCGAGCAAAACTGCACCACTGTTACATAATCCAACTGATTTGATACAATGGAGGCTATTGGGTAACCAGTTCTAGCACTATTGTTTGCTACTAGTCATAATACGTTTGTTAAAACAAATGCATGCCGAACACCGATAAACGATATCAGATTATTATAATGCTCATGACATTGTCGTTATCTGTATATTGTTGGAGCTTTGCGTTTAAATATGAGAGCTTCAAAGGTTGATGAACTAGAAATGTTGAATTGTGATGTCCTTGAAATTTTTAGAATGCAAAGAAGAATAACAGATTCTAAAAATTTCTGAAACAATCTCGATTAGCCAACTGCTGGATAAATTTGGAAAAAGTTGATTGGTGTTGAGGAGATTTTGGTTCAAGATACAAAAGAGAACCTTGCAAAGTTATATTCACTGTTTTAGAAGATAATTTGGAGGAAAAAGTAATATGTAGTCAATCTTATTGAAAAGCGATAACTTACAGTTAGGATTTGTTACGATTTACAAGAACCACAACTGTTAAAGAAAATCTGTAATTTGCTCGTGATTCTAGAATCATGAGTTAGTATAGATTATTTGCAATGGTGCATTCATGGTCAACTACTACCCCCTAAGTAGTTTTATTGTGTAAATGCGATTATATACGGAACCAGGGCATCCAGCAAAGCGCCTAAAGCACACAAGTCTCGAAACATCACTTGTATTGTATGTCGATTTGCTCACGACCAACAGAAAAATGCCCGCTTAACTATGCCATTTAGAAGCAGAAACCTATCCGAATTAATAGAAAAGCAGGGTAAAAATGAGGAGTTATTTGAGAGGCAGAATGAGTCGAGTTATCCTGAATACCTAAGTTGAGTGCAGGTTCCTTTTGAGGCGGCGACATCCTGGCAAAATCCACGTTAGTCGTCGACTCGGGATACTGCACAATATGCACACTACTGTCCGGCGACAGGATCATCTCGCTAACACTAGTTCGGATCACATACGACGCGAACGACCACCAAGCGAACTATTCGAACATGGATGGAGCTTCTAGCGAAGAACTACTGCCGGTGCACGTGCACGCATTGACACTGACTACCGCTCAAGTCCAAGAGCAGCCAGAGAACTGACGATAGTGAAAGTCCCAGCAGATACTGAGTGCGGCGTCGGTCGTATAGTAAATATTACCTGAAGGGCAACAACCGGCTGTTGCGCGGCAAGGGGGGAGGGCGATTTAGCGAACTTGCGAGTTCATCGCATTTCGAAGTTGGAGGTCACTGACAACAATACGGTTGCCGGCCAATAGCGAGACGCCGGGTGCGCCGCTATTGGCGCAGAGCCGCCAGGCCGCGCCCATTCGCCTCGAGTGGGGATAGCGAGGAAGGAAGTTCATCGACACGGACCTTGACTGAATTACCCAGACAAACGAACAGCGCGACTGCGGCCAAGGCCGAGCACTGCCGATCGCCTGTGCTCAAACTCTCTGGTCGAAATCAAAAATCGTGCTGGTTGGTGCGCGCCGCTGCCTTGCTCGCCAGATCCTTTCACTGTATTTTTTTTCAGTCGGTACTGTTTGTTTCGCACCGATTGCTGGCCAATGAGCCGTTCGGTGCATTACTCTGACACTAGTACCGGAGAATTCATTTACACAGGTGTACAAAAGATTATTCCTATGTTCCATCCAAGAGTTGCGATGGAGCTACATTCAATTTATGTTTTATTTCTCTACTCAATCCCTTCTCACAGCAGTTTTCTTGTTTAGACGGCATTCCAGTGCTTCAACAGCCTCTCCTAAAAATGTTGCCCGACTTCTGAATAACAATCCTCTACCGCAAGTGTCACCTATTGCTTACTTGAACATTTATTTTCTTGTAAATGCTTCAATTTTGGATGTGTTATGAAGTTTAGGGAGGCAGGACTGGCGAAATGCGATAGGTAATCTACTATTCAATTAATTAAAAGCCTGTTGGGTATAGGCCAGCAATCGCAATTGGCGGCTAAGAGCATTATCCACTAACCCAAGTAATTTCTTATTCATCATATGAGTACCCCCCTCCATGAATATTTTCTAGATCTGCCCCTGATTCCTATGATCCCTGCTAGAACCCTTAACAGACATGAAACCAAAAGCACATAACCTTAAAGCAGATTAACATATAAACTTGACATTTTGGTAACATAGCCTACTAAGATCCCTTGTTCTACTGTCAACAACATTAATTTATCGAATAAGCATCTGGAAGGGGTTCAGAGGCGGAGCATAGGGATCAACCCTCATATTAACACTGCACAGTATGGCGAGGAGTTTTCGCACTCCATTTTATTAGCATCGTATGTCTCTTTCAACATAGTGTCTGGAATACTTTTCGTTTGATTGTGTCATGTTTTGTATAGAGTTGACCAGAAACAATGTTATCAGATAGTATTTTGTCAAAAATTCTTCAATCGTAACTTGTTAGCAAATAATTGTTTGGGAATATTCCACTTTTATGGAAGGATGACCGGGTGATCAATCACTGTTTTCTTGTCATTTCCTCTCTTAGAAAATTTTTTGCCTTTCATGAAAATTCAGTTTGCTGCAAAATGAGGTTCTAAGGAAATCGGAGATTTTTTTGGGGAGAAAATGTGATAAGAATAAAGGTAAATCATCCGCTCAATTTTACTATAGACCATGGAGTATTCAAAACACTTTTTCGAACAATGAATTCTAAAAATATCGTTGCCACAAAAAATAAGGAAAAAGTAACTGGAAACAATGCTGAATCTAGGAGTAAATCTTTTAGAAGAGTTTTCTGCCTGTGAGCCACAAAATGACTTTTTTATCAAATATATTTCTCATTCACAGTCTGGTGGAATTTCAATCTGTTGATGAAGTTCGACAAGAGCTTTTTAAGCAAATTTAAATTTAAACATATTATGTTTATGTGCTTGAACCTTGTTAGTATTGATTAGATTAGGATATGGAGACACAATATTTTGAGATTATGAAAGGCAATGTCCGATAGTCACCACTCGCAAAAATGTTGCTAACTGAAATATAAATATATATTCCTTCACAGTTTCTCTCCCAGGTGCAAAATATTACCAGAATTGGATATACTTCAAGTATTTTCTATACATTTGATGCCTTTTGAGAATACATCTGATAATATTTAATTCCTTCATACGCCTGTACTGTTTTTCGATTTAATCTGATTATATGAAAATGGTAAAGAATATTCAGGCAACCTTGAGACAAAAAAAAACAGGTTAATTTTTCGCACAGATATGTTAATCTATATTCTATTGTTGAAACTTCCATAATACATTCTAGAATCTATACTGGTTGTACAGGTGGTTTGATTGACGGTATACATGATTCATTGGTAGGATAAAACCTTGAGGAATAATTATTGTTCCTTCATCAGAGACGTACTCACAGAGTATTGTATAAACAAGCAGGTGTAGAATCCATAAAAATTTGTGTGGTGGAGATGAGCCAAATTAAATATGAGAAAAGCCTGATTCACGATTTCTTGCACCCAAAAATGTTTTTAAATTACGAGCTAAAGTGGCTAGAAAGTTACATAATTTTTTATCTTTTTTCCAAAGAATATTTAGGCAGCAGCGGTGGCCGCACTAGTAGAGTCTTCGGTCCCAGGAGAAATGTTTCTCTTGACTATGGATGTTGTGATTGTCCGTAGGTGGTAGACGGTCTCTGAGTGTCGAACGCGGAGGTACCACTCGGCGGATCTCGTAGGCGGGGACAGAATGTGTGCATGTTACATGCACACGTGTTCCCTCGCCAGAGTCCGTGTGGCGTTCCCCCTTTCCCTGTATCCCCCTATACCCCACGGTACCTCATGGGTGTTTAGGCCTTAGGCCTTCGTGGTAGTTGGAGTATAAAAAAAATCTATGACTATGCCCAAATATTATAATAAACATCGAAACATGAAAATTAGGACGGTTTTGTAATGTTCAATACTTACAAAGCCTTCTATCCGTAAGATGGTTGTAAACTAATCAAAACCCGAATAGTACCTACTTTATGAGTTACAGGACCAAGCATCACCGGACAGACAGACGGAAATGTACGAACTGATAATTTGCAAAATCAACTTCTAGAATTTTTCACTTTTGCACTTTGATCCAGAACTGTCTATTGTTTTCATGTCTATTTTATTTAACACCCATCGTTAAATGCTGCGACTGACACTTTGAGGTCAAAAGCACCAGAAATAATATTTATGCAAACAGAAACCGTACTTGGAACATAGCTCAACATAGATTGTTGTAGGAAACGTTATGAATATAAACAAAACAAGGAAAATATGCTAAGTGTGTGTGGTTCGGGTACACTTACGTGCTGACATGGTCGGAAACGGTCAAGTACACAGTAAAGTTCAATTCCTTCATTAATATTTCGGGTGTTCTGCCCAAATTGTACCATAATTACTTCCTAGAGTTATTTATACGTTCTAGAATAGTGTATGTATCAAGGTGACGAATTTGGTAGATCGAAAAATTTGTAACAATTTGATTACATTAAATTAGGTACTCCATGAAGTCTTTATAATATTATAATAATATTCTACATAAAACTGAAGTAAGTGAGAGAAGGAAAAACCGAATTTTCCCAAAATCGTTTTAATTTTTTCCTGACTTTATTTGTAGTGGGGTTTCAAATTGCACATCAACACAGCCATTTTTTCTCCTCTACAAGATGGCCTAATTAGAATTTCAATATGACGTTTCATCTCTTGTCCTCCAGCATCAACTTTATTTTTCCTTATGGACGCCATATTTGATTTTAACGCAGACGAATATTTATTTATTATGATTTCATTGTTAAACCTTAGTTACACCAGAAAAACATGAGTTTCTAGGTAGGCCTCGAAATTATCAGATTTCTTTTGTTTCGTATACAAGACCAGCACCGGTATCATGTAAAAAACCTACAAAACGTCAAAACAAACCTATAAGATGTCAACTTGCAGACTAGGTAGTTTTTAGGGCGCAAAACAGTCATTCCACGTTTGCTCACTAGGATCGTTGTGAACGTCCATCTATGGAGGAATCACTCAACAAACTACACGCATTATTGGTTGCATAGTTTTGTGAGGCTGAGTGATCCGTGTCTGTAGTTGTTATCTCTGAGAAGAAAGCTGGTTGAATAGCAAGATCGCATCTGGATGATTATGTGTATTGGTCTGCATGTGTATAAAATCAGTGATATTTGCTGTGTGAGAAAATCATTACTGAATATGACGGGTTATTTTTATGTTGCGCGTTCTGAAGAGAGGTTATGTTCAAAGTTATAAATTACGAAAAACTGAGGAGAATTACGGGAAATCACCACCGCGCCCGCGTTGTGTGTAATTACTGTTAGCATGTATATGGCTTGTAATTAGACAGTGTACAGTGAATATAATTATTTCTTATCTCTCATTTTTGAAATTCGGCAAATTTGTATATGTAATTTCCAGAATGGATAAGAAAAAATGGATGCGCAACTAATTTCTAGCTTTGAATCTCAATCAAGTGTATTTGAGACAAGAACCCAATGTAATTATCATGAACACATACGACTTACAGCTTAGACCTCCAGTAACGCCATCTCAGAAGCATATTTTACATCACATCAGAGCCAAAGATTGATAACAAGCCTCATAACGTTTAAGCAACATGCACAACTAAGTGCTAAGTTAATATCTTGGAAAAAACCTTCATAATGTCAAAAAAAAAATAGCATAATGTTAAAAAAAATCGGCATAATGTCACTTTTCAAGATACGTGATATCCGTGCCGACCTCAAATTGAACATAGCAACAGAGTTTGGAAAACTGATAAGCGAAATAAATCGGACAGTTATCAATGTCCAGTGAAGAGTCAGACTTTGTTTTTATGATTGTTATTGTTATTACCATCAATAAAGTTTTCATTTTGTGTTCAGGTTTTACCATACCTTTTTATTTCCTTATCATTTTCATCCAACAACAAATTCATGGCCAACATCACTGAATTTAGGATTGAAAAGAAATAGAAATTTTCCCAATAATATTATTACATCGTATCACAGTGGTGCCACATTTTTAAAATCGAATCCAATGAAAGCGCAACACTTCTCAGTCTAATAAAGTGAGAGTACCATCTGGCGAACATTCAGCGTTGGTTAGTGACCTCTTTGCTATACATGTCTAACGCCGTACGCACCAAATTTAGATAGCATTCAAACTGAAATCAAATAGACACGCCCAGTTACCAGAGGATGCATAGGAAATGTTTTTTGTTGTTCCTTAAACTAAGCAGACGGTTCACGTGGCATAGACAGGAAGTTGCTGGGTTATT